GCTTTGTCAAGTCATACGGCTAACCTACCAGCTTCGTTATAGCTCGAGGCTCTGGTGTATCGTTATGGAAGTTCTAACTTGATAATAGAAAATTGAAAAATTCACCACCAGGTCTTCAGTAGGAAAGAATAAGAGTGTCTCCGCCTTCGTGGAATTGTTACAGGATAGTATTTCGAAAAGTGTGTAAGGTAAGTGATACAGTAATTTGGGTGTGGAATTGCTAGGTCGGCAAAAGTCCGGTCAATTTACTTCAGGCGAGAGATATCCGTTAGTCTTATATATGAATCAGTAGTTCTGTACTCAAGTGAACGGAAAATAAGCATATTAGAGTGATGGCAATAAAAAATAACCATTATCGATACTAGATCATCAATGGAAACATTATTATTAAGATTGCTATTATGATTTTTATAGTTATCACCATTATTATCATTGCTGCTATTAATATTAAGCATATAAGAAATATGGTAATAATAATAACTATAATCGTTGCCATATCATCATAGAAACACTGTTGTTATTACGATGACTATTGTTGTTACTGTTATTTTAGTTATTATCATTATGGGCATTGAAGTTATAATTTTTATCATTATTTTGATTAGCCCAGCATTAGCATAACATTTTCATATAACTTTTGATAACATAATCATTCGCAATATCATTATTGTTCTTTCCTTCTTATTATCAGTTATCATTATTATAGTTATTACTATTATTACTATAGTAATTGTTATTGTTATAGTAATTATTATTATCATTGTTATAATTATTATTATTATCATTGTTATTATCGCTATTATTATCATCATCATTATCATTATTATTATCGTCATCACTATTATGATAAGCATTATCATCTAAATTATCATCATTATTGTTAGCTTTTACGATCATTATCATCATTATTGTTAACTTTTACGATCATTATCATCATTATTGTTGTCACTTATTTTTATTATCAATATTATCATGATCATTACTGTTATTATTATCCTCATTATTAATATTATTATAACCATTACTTTTATCAGTATTATTATGCTCATCATCATCATCATCATAACTGTTATAATAACGATAATTGTTATTATTACTGTTATCATTATTACTGTTATTATCATTGTTATTATTATTATAGTCATTATTTTTTTATTATTGCTGTTATTATCATTGTTATTATTATTAACATTATCATTGTTATCAACACTTATCATTATCATTATTATTATCATTATAATTATTATCATTATCTTTACTATTAGCACTCATATTATTATATTGAGTTATCATTGTTGTCATCACTTATTATTATCTCATAATTTTGTCATAACTATTATCTCTATCATATTTCTTATCGTTATGATCATCGTCGTTATCATTATCATCATCACCTTGACTATAATGATGTTGATAATAATGATAATGGTAATAAAAATAATGAAATGATAATGATGATAATAATTATTATAATAATGATAATACTGATATTAATAAAGATAATGACAATCGTTATTAGTAATGCTAATAATGATAATGATTATGATGATAGTAATAATAATGCTGATGATGATCAGAATAATGATAATAATAGCAATAATGATAATAAGAATGGTGATAATAATTACAACAATAGTAAAGAATAATGGTAATAACACTAAAAATAGTAATTATAATCATATTGATAATAACAATAACAACGATGATGATGATAGTAATAATTATAATGAAAATATCGATTATGATGATAATAATTAATATAAGAAAGATAATAATAGTAACAATGATGATGATCATAACAATGATAATGATAAGAATACAAATAGTAAAGTTGATGATAGCAATATTAGCATTGATAATAGTAACATTAATAATTGTAATGATAATAGAAATGGTAATACTAATGGTGATGATAATAATGATAACCGTAACTATAATGATAACCATGATGATAATGGTAAATAGTGATAATGCTAAAAAAATAAAGATAATGATAATTCTTAATAAGAATAGTAGTAATGATGATAATAATGATCATATTCATAATGATAATGATTGCAGTAATAATGATAATGGTAGTAAAATTAATAAATATAAGAATGACAATAATAATAATAATAGTAATAATGATCATGATAACAATGGAAGTGATAATAAAGAGAGGGAGAGACAATAATCATAACTATGACAATAATAATGATTATCATAATAACAATAATAATAGTAATGAAGATATAATAATGATGGTAATGGTGATAACAATAATAATAATAGTAATAATAAATGATGAAAATGAGAGACAGAAAGACACAGCAAACCATCACACACATGGAGACAAGCATGAAGTAGGGAATCACTCCCACCATGGACCTCAGCCCTCGCCCCACCTAATTTTGCATGGTCTTTGCTTCTCCCCCTTTCTTTTTTCTTCTCTTTTTCATCCCCTTCTTCTATCCACATCCTAAGTGTGAGAGACGTGCTGAAAAAAAATGAAAAGCTGGCTCTGTGTCAGTCTGTGAACGGCCTATATTTTGAATACCCCGCTAATGACCTTTGATGTTGACGCGGCAGAAAACTTTCACCAAATGAATAAATTATATATGTCTGTCTGTATGCACACACACACACACACACACAACACACACACACACACACACACCACACACACACACACACACACACACACACACACACACACACACACACACACACACACACACACACACACACACACACACACACACACACACACACACACACACACACGTGCGTGCGTGGAGAATGTTGAGGGAAATTGCTGTATTATCATCACCATTACTTATCTGCAAGTATGACTGACTTCATCTTTATTTCTTAACATGCCACTTATCGTAATAAACATCATTAGAAAAGAGAAGAAAGAAAGAAAAGGGAAACAACTTTCCGTTTCAAAAAACAGTCCGTTCAACTTCTTACATTAGATGATCATTCTCCCTGACTGTGGCCTCTGATTAGCTTCGCCTTACATAACGAGTGATTACGTGTCATCAAACTGTATCTGGAGAAAAGGCAAAATCAACTGTACTTTTACTATTCTGTGAAATCCTTAAATTACTGCATTCATGTGATACGGCGGAACTTTCCTAACCTTTGATTTAGGCTACGTATAATTAACTTTTCTTAAGAGCAATCGATAAGGTAAACTTATCTGCGAATATGAAGGGCTTTTATAAAACACTTTATATTTGGTCTTAAAAAGGGCAAGGCCACAGACTCAGCATTGATTAGATTACAATAAAATGCACTGTGCTAACCTGATGGAAATTCTTAACGAAATACATGACATGAAAATCGAATAACAGGGTTTTCCTTACTGTCTATGTATTTCACCGGTAATGAGACAGGTAAGATCCACTGTGTCCTTTATTTTTTAGGTGTAGTTATCAGTTTATTCTTATCAAATTGTATTTCTGAGTACTGTCAGTCTCGTGACATTCTTTCTTTAAAACGATTATGTTTTTAATAACTATTAGGTCAGCATTTTTTCTTGAATAGCGGACCCGCCGACATTTATTTAAAGAAAAAATAAAAAATTAAAGAAAATTCAGATTTTTTTCAAATTTCCCGCCGGTATTGTGACGTCCGCGAAAGAAAAGCAAAAAAAAAATAAATAAAAAATCAATTTGTCTATGATTAATTGTGTATGGTATCGTTTCTCCCGTCCCCAAAACAGAAATAAAATATATTTGGCGGAAATGCCTTACTCTCATGCGGCATGTCACGTTGTGTATCGTGAATATTTTAAATTGATACTCAAAATAATAAGTTCTGGTTGAAAAGACAGAAGCACTTGTAGTAAGACAACTGCACTTCCTCCAGGTGGGGCTGGAACTGATACATTCCTTTACTTCTTATCTTCGGAAGGTAGGAGGTAAACGTCTTATTTTGGTGCATGGGATTACTTCCTTTTTTTTTCTTCTTCATTCTTTTTTTTTCCTCCCTCTGACATTTCATTATCACCAGACTTGCTCGCTATTCAAGAAATAAAATGCTGTGGCCTTGTCCTAAAAATGGCTATCCTTTTGCATCGATATTGTTTTTCTTTTAGAAAAACATTATTTCAAAAGTGATTACAGATAAATATTCCCCTTCGCTTTTCACCAAAAAGTTTCTCTTAATGCTCTGATTATCACAAAACTGGAAAGTAATTCGGCAGATTTTTCTTTCTATGGTATCAATGGAATTAGTGCATTTTCTTCTAATTTCATTTAGTAAAACGTCGAATTTACTTACCCTTGTTGTTAAACCGGTACCTCCATTAGCCACGGATGCATGGACTGTCTACTGTATTTTAATTTTTAATGTTATCATTATTGATTTTTTATTATTATGCATCTTAAATTTTATTATTTTTTCTGTTGTAATTTCGTTGCAAACAGATGGTTTTGCAAGTGCTTAGCCACCGAGGAGTCAATTAGTAAGCCCTGTTTTTTTCAGTGCTGTTAATATCGATAATCATTAATATTATTGATTTTATGATTATAATGTTATCAATGATATCATTAGCAATAACATCTTTTAATGAAAATGGTAAAAACTTGAGGTAGGCAGGGCTAGAAATAGATTTCTTAGTGAGAAAGTACTTGTGAACCATTTATAATGATAAAATCATAGAGAACGTAACATGTCCGCCATAGCTTATGGTATGTTGGTGATAATGACTATTTGAAATTCAACGATGTTTTTGGGGTATGTTGCATTCACCCAATCATCTGCAATCTTTGAAGTGCATCTGCGGAAAGAAAAAAGTATAATGATACACATCTGATAGGTTAGAAGTATGCTTTCCACCTAGACATGTTTGGTAAGTAAAGTCACAGACATGCAAGTGAAAGCAGTGAATGTGGACAGAAAAATACACCCTATATACAGAGCAGGCTTTTTTATACATTTTTTAGGTTAGTACGCGAAGGCCGAGTGCAACAAACGTTTTTTATTTCAATAAATTAAAAAAAAATCAATGTCTAGTAACTTCTTACCCGGTTTTATTTACTATTGCGGTTTCACTCTCTGTTCCAAAATATGACAAATATTGCGATATCCACAATCTATGTCATAAACTTGGGTCATTCATGAATCATACTTATCTGCATCATTTCACAAAAGATTTTACAGTTATTATTATGATTCATATTCCCTGCATGCCAGTCTTGTAATCTCACACATTATCGGTAATATCTATGTCATTCTTAGTGTCTAGTGGTATCGACCTCAACAAGCGTCCATCCCTCCATTGTATCGTTGTTAGTGAGTATATAAATCAACGTTTATATATACACGCAAATAGTTTATATTTCTTAAAAATCATTCATAAATCTAAGACAACATAAGCTCGGTCTTTCTTCCTACAAATTTGCGGATTTACGATACATATATTCCGTGCTAAATCATTATTCAAAGGTTTCCGATTGAATTTACTTTGTTAAAACATTTTTAAAAATCCCAAACTTTGGTTTCTGAGTTTTACACTTTTTCGGATTTATTTTTTCTTGATTCGAGCTAGGATTTTATGAATTTATATTTTTCTTGTTCTTGTTTTTTCTCCTTTACCAAGTATCTACATCATATCTAATTCGTTTTATGTAAATTTGACGGTTTCAAAAATGGATCCGTGTATATATCACTAACGGAAAGAGGGGAATTAATGAAAACTGGAGAACATGTGTGGAATTCCTCGATTAGTTTCATGACCTACGAACATATAGATAAGGCTACAAAAGGGTAATTTAAGTACCTAAAATGCCGTACTCATTTCTAGACTTCATGGAGGCCTTATGCTATATATTTCGTATTTTTAGTGGTTTCTCCTTTTACCCGTATCTTACCCATTATAATGTTAGCACTATTTCTAGATTCTAAAGTTAAACAATTGAAACTAATCTGTAATGCTAATCTTCAATAATTCGAATCTTGTTAACTATCCTCCGTGCAAATAACACCCCTTTATCATCTGTTAATAACCCTATTTCCCTACAGTCCTTTGTGCTAATAACACATCTTTCTCCGCAGTGCAAATATCATATTTCTTTCCACTGAGTATTAATGACATCTGTTTTCCACAGGTTCTCTCCCAGCCGTCCTCACTCCAACGCCAAAATGTCGAAATCTAAAACAGTAAGTATTGTCACAGCAATTGATCAGTATTTCCTAGTGTAAGGGAAGAATCAGTGATATCTAGGCATGCGCTGTCTTTGTAAGTTATTGAATTGGCAATATTGCTGAACTAGTGTCCTATATAATTCTCCCGATTTGCGAACACCAGTATTTATATACAATGCATTCCATCAAACAATGCTGATAAAATAAAATATAAATGACCCAGGAAATCATCACTTCAACTTTGATGTCAAATTCTGTAATGTCGCAGCATATCAGTTGATAAGAGTGAAGTCATATTCATTAAGGCATCACTTCCTGACACATTTTTAATACTCAATCTATTCCATCCGGAATTTCAGAAAACTGCAAAGAATATATATGTGAAGAGGTTTGTTCCTTTTGATTATCGCTATCATCGTTGTATCACACGTTATCACTTATATTTCATCTATTTCTTTATTCATCCACTTGCATCATTAGACACATTTCTAACCTGTTACAAGGAGGAAAAAGACTTTAGACCTGCAGACACTTTCTCCTTCTACCAATCTGTAGCCTTTTCTCTTTTCCTCAAATTAATTATATTTTATGATGTGTATTTATATCCGCCAATGTAGATAGATTAATTGACACTGTAATCGTTGGTATATGATTTCTAACATTGGTTAATATGATGTTAAACGTAATTTAAAGAAATAATGAGAAGGAATTAACCTAATAGCAGTTTTCGACATCCATATTTTTATTTTATTTACAATACATTTACAGTATCATGAGTAAAGATTATGTCATTATGTGCATATCATGATACATTAGTAATCTGAGGGAGAAAATGCTTGTACTGAAAAAAGAAATTAGGTTAGTATCCCTTTCCTCGAGCTCCGCTTCTTTATATAACAGACGGTCGCATTAACAGTCTCAGTGCGAGATTTTTTTATTTTTTTTTTTATTACGAGATATCCCTCCCACATGCTCGAGTCACAGTACATGATTCATTGATCCAATCTCCTCCACGTACTCAATGACCCATATATAGAGAGTTATTTCCACATAACGTCCTGTGAGGAAGTTCAGTCACAGCTAAATGAAACACATTCTTTCATTTTTCTTTAATTCTCTCATTCTGCCTTTGCTCCGACCTTTTATCACACTTTATCATCTTATCTTATCCATGTCGGCATAGTCAGATTTGTGTATTTTGATGGTTCATTATGAACTATGTAAATAAAAAAATGAATATCAATAAATGCCAAGAAGCGGTATGTACGCAGTGTGTGTGTGTGTGTGTGTGTGTGTGTGTGTGTGTGTGTGTGTGTGTGAAGAGAGATGACTGATGACTAATTACGGCAAAACAGTCAGAAAAACCCTATTGTTGCATGTGACAATAAAACTCACGATACTACATTCGGGAAAAAAAAATACAATGCACATTTAAACAACGGTTTCGCTTATAATTCCACCGACTTATCAGCATTTCTATTGTATTATCACCAAATGCCAGATTAACAACTAGACGACAACAGTTAATTTAGAAAAAGATATAAACTTAAATGATATGAAAATACAAACGCAAATAACAGGATGATATGTAAGCCAATTTATTTATTGATACGCCTTAATCGAAAAATAACCTGCTACAAAAATGAGGATTCATTATACTAAAACTTTAGATAATGTCTTAAAATACCTTTGTTGCATGTAAGAATCAAATGATTTGCATATTTTTTTTTTTTCTCCTTTACAGATAATAAAGGTTAAAGGTAAATAAAAAGTGTGAAAAATGGTTAAATAACATCGGTAATGATGATAATAGGGGTACTTATGAAAATAATGATAAATGTAATGATAACAAAACAAAATGCCAAAGCGTTTGCATAGAAACAGATTATTAATATTAGCAATGTTGTTAAAGACCAAAAGAATATTAATTGAAAGCCCCAAGATTTCTAGTTTGTAACCGCCTTTGAGAATTTTATACATAATAGGCGGATGAAAAACTGATCTTATTTGAAATCTGATGAGGGGAAAATTTTATCGTGGCAGGCGAAATCAAGTATCTGAATCTTAATTAATCAAAATCATATATTTCCTGACAAACAAACTTTGGAGTGATATCTAACTTTTATTTAAAGTTATCTGCATACCATTTAAATTTAATGTTTGATATAAAAATGTCCATTTTCCTCTTTACAAACATACATATATGTATATAGATTTTTTTCCTCTTTTTTAATAGTCATGAGGTATACATGTAGGCCTAATATTCAGTAGGTAAAATATGTGCTGCAATTTTATAGGAACTCCTGAATACTGATTAACATAAAGTAGATTATTCAGTACTATCCTAAAATGTGCAAACTAGGGAATGAGATCCGTTACGACACCAAGACAGCCGGTTTCATTCACAAGAGTGCATGCGAGCCACAGATTCATCAGTCTGTTTGTCGCTCGACCGAGATTCATATCTGGATCCAGATTAAAGAAGGGATCAAATACGATTACTAAGAAGGATTGGATACAATATCATCATCAGAAGGGGAATTAAAATGTAAGAAATAGGATCGCCTCACGCTCTTTATAGTATCAAGAGCGGATGTAGTTTTTTTCAGAATTTATGATTTTCGAATGCAAGTAACCCGAAGGCTTTCAACCCACGATCTAAAAGGTCTTATTATACCGGGCACATTCTGGTGGAACTACTATTGTGAAAGACTACTGGAGAACACTATCTTATCGCTGATAGTGGACTTATCTCGCTCGCTGTTCACGGCTATTGGCTCGTTGACGTCATAAAATGTCAGAATGTCTCCCACAACTGAATGTAAGAAATATTTGAGAATTAATAAAAAAAAAAAAAAATGAAAACAAGGCCAGTCGAAAAACAGAATCTTTGCTCGTCTGACGTAATATGCAAAGAAATGTATTGACATTTAAGGAAAAAATCTAAACATTTCATTCGGTATTTTTCCTCCTCTCATTCGTCGAATACCATTTTTTTTATCAAAATGTTTCATGACAAATCTCCCGTGTGTGAACTTAAATTAATCATGTTATATTATCGGATTAGGAACAAATTTCATATACTGAGTGAAGCTTTGTCATAAATCGAATTTTTAATACATGCTTTAATCCCACGAGTGTTGTATGTTCTTATCATGGTTTTATGGTGAGCATAAAAATCTAGCTCTATTTTTTCAACTCTGGCTGAAAACAAGTTTTCGTTTGGATCACTGATTGAAGTGTTTGTTTGAATATTAAAAAAGCGTCGTTTGAATCCTTGTAAGAAGTCTTCGTTTGAATTCATGAAATAAATTTCGTTTGGATTTTCGAAACAATTTTTTGTTTGAATTTTCGAAGAAAAATTTCCTTTGAATTTCCGAAAATTTAAAGTTTGCTGTTGAATCCTTAAAACAAATTTTCTTTTGAAATTTAATTTACCTCCGCGGATGTTATGAAAATAGGAAGATTACCTAAAGCACTAAAAACCGAGAGGAATTGCATAAACATTTCTATATAATATGATTATGACTAATAAAGATGATAGTGATGATGCTGATAACAATAACTATCAGCATGTCTCACTTCATTTATCAATACTCTCGTTATCAGTTTTGTACAATTCACATACATACATACATATATAGATAGATAGATAGATATAGATATAAATATAGATATATACGTATGCATTCATAATGATGATAATAACACATGCAGCAATAATGATAATGGTACTGTTACCAATACTGCTGCTACTACTAATGATGATGGGGGTGATTATGATAATGAGGAAGGTAATGAGGAGAAGGAGGGAGAACGATAGCGATGATAATGACAATTAAATATTTAATATACAGTATTTGTAATAAGTTTATGATAATTAGAATAACAGTCGTAGTAGCCATTTTCACCATTATTATCATTCATTATTATTGTTCTTATGGCGATGATGACAGTGGTAATGATGATGATAAGAACAGTGATGATGGTGATGTTGGCACTGGTGAGGTACATGATTATGATAGTGACAATATTGATGATGATAAAAGTGATGATGGTGACAATTATGGTGACGATATTGACAGTGATGATGCTAATGGTAATAATGCTGACAATGATTATGAAAATGAGGATCATGATTAGAATGATTCGTCTCAACCTCCTTTTCATTACATTACTACAGTTTCCCAGTATGTCACCATGAAGTACAAAGTTAAACACTATTATCATTATTACTTTCCAGGTTGTTATTGTTAACCATGATATAAATTTCCACAACCATCGGAATTTGAGTTACCATAAGAAAAATATCACCATAGAACTTCCATGTGCGATAAATGGCTCAAGTGTTACACAATATGTTTATCACAACCAAACCATACTATAGAATTACACAATTTTTCCTCCTTTTTTCCCATATCCTTTTGTCACGATAAATTCACAATTAGTAGCGATTCCCGGATGTTCCAAAGGCCGTGGGGTATTTGTGGGCGTTGGAGTAGGAATGGGCGTATGAATTTTTAGGGAGTCAGATGCATTTTCGGGGGCGGGTCCAGAGAAATTTCTGGTGGGGGGCACAGGGGGGTGGGGGGGGGGGGCAACATTATATGTACAGGTGGTCATTACGACATTTTTAAGAAAAAAGCAATATTTTCATGATTAATTCTATCCGCCACTAAACATAATTTTGCTTCTTCTTTTAAAACCTTGAACTTTATTATACTCACCACTGTACGCCTCAACATAACCAAATATCATACCGTCCTTCCAAAGCTTTTCTATAACCCTCTCTTTCTAACCAAACCCTCTAACAACTAACCAACGCAACATCAGCCTATCCTCTGCCCATGCCCCTCACAACCCTCCCTTTTCTCCCTCCACCTCCTCTATTTCTACGATCCTCCCTCTTCTACATAAACCCTCTAACCACCTAACCGCAATGCAACCCAAGTCCTAAACTTTTTAACAGCGCCTTCACAGCCCTCCCTTTTCCCTCCCCATTTCTTCATCCTCTTCAACCCTAACCTCTAACCAAACGGCAACCCAAGTCCAAACTTTCCAACGCCCTCACAACCTCCCTGTCCTCTCCCCTCCTCCCTCTTCAACCTCCTCTAACCACTCAACCGCAAAGCACCCCAAGTCGTGACCTCTTTACAACGCCCTCACAACCTTCCCTCTTCTCCCTCCACCTCGACCAGGTCAGCGTCCGCATCACGACGATGGACGCCGAGCTGGAGTTCTCGATCAAGCCCAGCACGACGGGGAAGCAGCTCTTCGACCAGGTGGTTCGAACGATCGGGCTCCGCGAGATCTGGTACTTCGGGCTCCAGTTCCTCGACAGCAAAGGCTTCACGAGCTGGCTGGTTCTGACCAAGAAGGTTTGATTTTGTGTTTCCGTTTGGAGGTAGGATTCGATGTCTTTATATGGATATTTTTCTTGATCTGTGGACACCATGGCCAGAGCAGTGATTCCCAAGCACAACCATGTTTACCTATTTTTATATTTCTTGTATTTGTTGGGCACCTACTGTCCACTTATTGCAAACACAGATCCACAACTCCGTGCCGTATAATCTTAATATAAGAATCACGAACTTAGAAGGGTGTTCTATATATTTCTTTCTGCTCAAAGGAGGCAAATGGTATTCGTAATAGATTACAGTATACAAGTATAAGGAGACACCTTCCTTTCAATAATGTACTAGATAAAACATTGTACTAAATGCCACTTTTATTACACCCTTTCTAATATATGACTATCGACCACCAAAGTCATGGACCTTTGCACTGTCCAGGGAAATAATCAGACAACAGCCCACACAACTCGAAGACACCGACAGCCTCAAACCAGTCTCTCTCCCTCCGACAGGTTCTCCAACAAGTGGGCAAGAAGCATGAAAATCCCATCCAGTTCAAATTCCGCGCCAAATTCTACCCTGAGGACGTGAGCGAAATTATCCAGGAGTCTACCCTGGTGAGATATGTAGCAGCTGTTTTGGGATATTTAGGCTGTTTTGGGCTCTTTGGGCAGATCTAAGGTTTGATGCTTTTTTGAGAGTTCGATTGCTGTAAATTTTATTATATGGTCGTACAAATGTCGAGAAGGAAAGGGGATGTTAAAGCTTGAATGGATACAGGTATGTCTTACAGATCTTCTGGAAAGTTTATTTTGTTAAAGCAACGTTAATAAACATTGGTATGAAGTAAAAAAAAAAAAAAAAAAAAAAAAGGACATTACTTACATGACAATAACCACAATCATATCAATTGTTATTAGGCATTTGTTCTAACCCCGTCTTGAATGGATACAGGTATGCCTTACAGATCTTCTGAAAAGTATATTATATTAAATCAACGCTAATAAACATTGGTATGAAGTTTAAAAAAAAAATACTTACATGACAATAACCACAATCACATCTATTGTTATTAGGCATTTGTTCTAACCCCGTCTCCTCGATGAACAGCGGATGTTCTACCTGCAAGTGAAGAACGCCATCCTGAGCGACGAGGTCTACTGCCCGCCCGACGCCGCCGTGCTCCTCGCCTCGTACGCCGTGCAGGCCAAGTACGGCGACTTCAACCAGGACTTCCATAAGCCGGGTTTCCTCGCCAACGACCGCCTTCTGCCCCAGCGCGTGTTGGACCAGCATAAACTGACCCGTGACGCGTGGGAGGAGAAGATCGCCACGTGGCACAAGGAGCACAAGGGTCGCATCAGGTCGGTTTGGCCGTCTTTGAACGTGGGCGGCCTTGACTTTGGGCGTTCTTTATTATGGGCGTTCCTGTCTCTGGAGATGGATAACTTCAACTGTTTTTCAAAAAAATCAAATCATGTCTTTCACCTCGATTTCTAAATTTTAAGAGACTGATTTGGGAAAAAAGGGACTGATATCTAAAAAAAAACATCAAGACACACCATCAGCGTCTTCAAGCACACAAAATGGCATACCCGATCCACACAAGAAGACCAAACTCGCAATACTTTATTTTCGTCATGTTTCCCATTCCAGAGACGAGGCTATGCTGGACTACCTGAAACTGGCCCAAGACCTGGAGATGTACGGCGTCAACTACTTCGACATCAAGAACAAGAAGGGCACGGACCTCACCCTCGGCATCGACGCCCTGGGCATCAACGTCTTCGAGCGAGGGGACAGGCAAGTATACCTCTCTGAAGTTGAAGTGGTGGGATGTTTTTTTTTCGTTTTTAATCAGCATTTATAGGTTCATTTTTTTCATTTATGTATATTTGTTGGCAGTCAGTTTGTTTACATTGATGTTCTGCATTCCTTTTCTCTTTCTTTCGCCTTATTTTTTCCATTAATGAATTGCCAACAAGAAATATTATGGAACTTCAAAATTTGATCCGCGGACAAGTTCAAATTTCATCCCTTTAATTATTGGTAAAAAATTGAGAATCAAATAAAGAAAAATGCGATATTGATCTTATGGAAATGATAAATTTCACTGATAGATCGAATATATAATACCTCTAGATATAATTACAAAAGGAACTTACCAGATAATAGTGAATAAAAGAAAACATAATGGAAATAGTAACTATTTAGTCAAACAAATTATTACAGGAAAATTATCAAAACTCTTTAGAAAACCCAGCAACTAATTAGGAAAACTAGGAAATCATTAAAGGAAAACTATTAAAATTCTTTAGGAAACCCAGCAACTATTTAGGACATGATTAAAGGAAAATTATTATGAATATTTAGCAAGACTATTTAGGAAATGATTAAAGGAAAACTATTAAAACTCTTTAGGAAACTCAGCAATTATTTAGGAAAACCATTTAGGACATGATTGAAGGAAAATTATTGAAACTATTTAGGAAAACAATTTAGGAATTGATTAAAGGAAAACTATTAAAACTCTTTAAGAAAACCCAGCAACTTTGATCAGGAGAACAACAAAGCCCTAACCCCAGCCTTCTTCCTCCTTCCCGCCCATCCCCCAGACTGACCCCAAAGATCGGCTTCCCTTGGTCCGAAATCCGCAACATCACCTTCCACAACCGCAAATTCATCATCAAACCCATCGACAAGAAATCCCCGGACTTTGTCTTCAACTCGTCACACGTCCGCATCAACAAGACGATCCTGGCGCTGTGTATGGGCAATCATGACCTCTTTATCCGGCGTCGTAAGGCTGACACGATCGAGGTCCAGCAGATGAAGATTCAGGCCCGGGAGGAGAAGATGTCCAAGAAGATGGCGCTGTGAGTTGGACGGCGGTGGGGGTTGGAAGGGAGTGTGTGGGTGTGGGTGGGTGGGTGTGCGTGAGTGCGTGCGTGCGTGCGTGTGTGCGTGCGTGCGAGAGAGAGAGGCTAAGTGTGTACGACAATTTCATTTTCTTGTTCTTATTATTATGATAATAATAATTATTATTATTATTACTTTTATCATTATCAATAGTATTATTATTATTATCATACCATTATCATTATCATCATTATTATCATCATTATTATTATCATCATCATTATCATCACCATCATCATCATTATCATTACATAGGTAATCTTGACAATAACAATCATTCTATATGTTCATATTGTCCTCATTACATATTATTAGTAGTAATCATGATAGTATTGCTATAATTAAAATCATCATTATCATTATACTTTCTCAACATCAACGCCATATGCGTCAACAATCGTTAACTCCGCTGTTCTTCCTCGTGAACAAAGACAATAGCGCATCCTCGGAATATTTCATCCAATGCGTCCATCTCACTTCAGGGAGAGGCTCGCCCGAGAAGTGTCCCTGCGAGAGGAGGCAGAGAAGAGGCAGAAGGACTTCGAGGAGCGCCTCCTGAGCATGAACAAGGAGATGGAGGTGCGGCAGAAGGAACTCCTCACTGCCCAAGAGACGATCCGCCGTCTGGAGACACAGCTGCGGGAACTCCAGGAGGCCAAGGACGAGCTCGAGAAGAAGCAGACGGAGCTGCAGACGATGATGGCGCGGCTGGAGGAGACCAAGGAGATGGAGGCCGGCGAGAGGGCAAGGCTGGAGGAGGAGATCAAGTACAAGCAGGAAGGATGAGATTTCGCGCATTCAGGATGAGGAGGAGAGAAAAGGAAAAGAATAAAGAAATAGTAGCTGGAGAATACTTTCTTGAATAAGTTGTATTGACAGGAAACGAAATAAAACACAAAACGACATATGTTCTTACAAAAAAAAAAATCGTCTGCATCATGTATACAGTGATATAAATGTATTTGGATTGATAACGATTAAACTACATAACAGGACAGCGCACTATATTATAGAACTAACAAAAGACGATCGAGAAAACAGCCCACACATAGAACTACTTGTACCATCTGTACACTAACTGAAAGTCATTTACTTTTTTTTTATCTATTAAAGAAGAAAAAATATTTGAAAGAATTTACGATCCACAACCCGTAAAAAAAAAAACACTTATAGACCAACTAAAAATTTGATTGAACAATCAACAACAACAACAAAAATCCGCAACTACCCATTGGCAGAGCAACATAAACTTATCGTTCACTCCCTCTCCCTCGCAGTCCGAAGTGGAAGAGGCTCGGCGGAAAGAAGAGGAGGCGACGCTGGCTCTGCTGGCGGCCTCGACGGCTCAGAGGGTCTCCAAAGTCTCCTCCTCCTCCTCCTCTTCCGACTCCGAAGAGGAGATACAGCGCCCCAAGACCCCCGTGGTCGAGAAAGTCGAGGCCGCCCTTGCCCAGAGTGCGTTCAACGGCGACAACATCTCTGAACACGAGGTCGAGATTCAACGCCGAACCAGCAGCTCCTCCTCCGAGACCAGCCACACCATGGCGCCGGTCAACGTCGATCCAGAGCTTCTCGAGATCCAGGAGCCCAAGGAGGATGAAGCCGCCATCAGGAGGATGAAGCTGCTGGAGGTTAGTTCGACTCTTGGATTATTTCCAATCTGTCGCCAGACCTTGTGGATTGTGTCTGGACTTTTTGTAGAAAAAAAACGAGATCTGTTTTTCTACCGTGTGTGATGTTTTGCATATTATATCATGTAATACATCATGGTGAGGTGATTGATTCGTATAATACTTATATGTTTTCTTCATTTCTGCAACTCAAGACCAAAATTGATGTAATGTTGATAAAGTTTCATTATTGTCCTCGGATCTACTCCCGTCAATAGATTGACAGACATTTGAAACTTCTACTTCTTATGCTAACTCTATTTCATGTTATCAGTTGCCCCAGGCTAGATTATTCGAACTTCCAACTTTACTCCATATCACCTTACGAAAACTTTCTTTTTATTATATTCAAAGTCCTTCCAGCCGCCAATCATCCAAATTTATCTCAATGCCTAAATGAAAATTCCTCTTCCGCCAGGACGTGAAGCAGTCCCTGGAAGCCGAACGCAAGCCCGACCAGCTGACCATCCTCGACAAGATCTACAACGCGAACATCACCAAAGGCAACACCAAGTACAAGACGCTGCGACAGGTGCGACAAGGGAACACCAAACGACGTGTCGACCAGTTCGAAAACCTTTAATTTTCTTATCTTCCTCTTCTTTGTTTTTGTCTGTTTGTTTGTTTGTTTGTTTTCTTGTATACGAATTCTCAGACAAGATGGGGTGGCGAAAAAAACGGTTTTGATTGATGAGAACGTTTCCCTTGTCTCGTAGACCAATTCGAGAACTTACGTTTTTCCGTAATTGTGTATATATATATATATATATATATATATATATATATATATATATATATATATATATATATATATATATATTATATATATATATATATATATATAATATATAATATATATATATATATATACAAATGCACAGTTTTCTCCTGATTGTAGAGAGATAGGAAAAAAATATTATTTTCTTTTAACCATTATTGTTAAAATTTTAGCCATTGTCATTTTCCTTAGTAGTTGACATTTTTGGATTTTGTTTTTCTTTTTTTTCAGTTAAATATTTTTTCTTTAGGTTTCTTGGTATGATCCGTAACATAGGTTTTTAAGTAAACATATGTTTAGTTAAGCTTAACTTTTGCTGAATATGCTAGAGGTGCAACATGTATAAAATATGAAATGCATTATTTTCTCTTCTTTAATTCATGTCTTTTTGTATAGATCAGCAAGTTTTAAGAGAAATCAGATATACAGATTATTCTGCAATGTTGACTGTATCTGTATTCCTTTCTCCAATTTATGAAGTAATTATTAAATGGAATATCTTAAAGTTCCTGATTGCTTAATAAAGATATGCAAATTAAACTTATTTTTTAAGCATGTTATGTAATTTATAGACTAGTAATTGACTGATTTGTGGTCATTTTAATCTGTTGTGCTGACAATTTTTTGTTGCTCATATTGTAAAAAGGTGGTGATGATAAATGAATGGATGAATTAATGAAAATAAAATAGAAAAAAAAATCAGAGGATTATGATTTTGAAACACAAATTTTTCTAAATATATTTGGTCATGAGACTTCATATGCAATGCACATATGTTCCATAAAATTACATGAAACATTATGATTTTGTCCACTTGAAAAAGGGCAACGGTGCAAAGTGAGGTCGAAGAAATCATGTAATTTCTGCGCTATGACAATATTTTGGAGAAAAAAAGTTCTCTTCACTATCCCTTGGAAAAAAATTGAGCAATTAAAAAGAAGAGAAAGAAACTTTGTAATGACAATGATAATTATCATCATTATTGATATTACTGTTTTCATATTCTTTATATTTGCTTAAACTGATCGAATTTTTAGTAGAACATCAATCAAATAGTAGTCCCCCATGCTTAAATAATTGTTTTATATGGTTATTCTCTCTCTTATATATCACTAATCACATCAAAAAACGGCAGCGGGACTTCCAAACTGTGCGTTGTCTCCAGACTGCTGCGTATTGCATAGTCTGCGGGTATCCCATGGGTAGTCTGGATACTATGGCCTCCTGTCCCTGAATTAGAGCCTCTTAGACCTTATCTCTATTTAATGTCAAAGTAATACTCTGGTAATGACATTCCATTTTTTTTTTTTTTTTTTTTTTTTTTTTTTTTTTTTGCCTTTCCGTAATTCATGGACTTTCTAATCTTCAAGAGGGCTGATAACACATTCTTTTGATTAAGAGATAATGAAATTTTATAGAATGTATCTTTATGGAAGAGATAACTTGACTAGTGTGGAATAGTATTTACTAGTATTGCTTGCTTTTCTGCATTGCACTTTTAAAAGGTTATGCCAATGGAATATACTAGGTGCCAATATGTTTCAGCTTACCTTAAAATATTTTCTTTCTTTCACCAGAAACCTTATAAATTTTCCGTATTCACTCCTCTGTACACTTTATAGATGTAATTCATTCCTGGATTATTCACTAAATTGAGAACACCAAAGGACTGTCTCACACCAGCTGGGAAACGCCGAAGGAGCACAACTAGACGAGCGCAAAGGGCTTCACTAAAAGGTGCTTTATTGAATCTATTTAAAGGGGACGAAGGTACCATTGGAAAGGCCGATAGGCACTGTTGGAAGTCCCGAGGGGCACCATCAGGAGGCAAAAACTGGTAGTATTGGAATGGCCAAGGGGCACCTCCAGAAAGGCTGGAAGGAAATAATCGGAAAGGCTTTAAGTTCACACTTGATAGGATTTAAAGGAGCAATATTGAAAAGCCTGAAAATGCACAGTTGTAAGGGCCGAAGGAGCAATTCTGGAAGGGCTGAAGAAGCAAAATTGGAAAGGCACAATATTGGTAGGGCTGAAGCATCATTAGAAGGGCCAATGAAGTACCTTTCAAAAGTCTAAGGAGCACCATTGTAAAGGACGAAGTGACTCCTTTAGAAGGACCGGAAAGGCACCATTGAAGGAGTAGAATGTGAAAATGATATTATTGAAAGGATAATAAGCTATGGTAGAAGTGCACTAGAGAAAGTCAGAGGAGGTTGGAAAGGCCATCACTAATAATGGGTTTAAAAGGCACCGTACCATTAGAATAGCTTAAAGGGCACTCCTGGAAGGGGCTTGATCGATCTGCCCAAGCCATGACTTCCTAGGGCGTCCCACAGGCCTCCTCCACCCAGGACTGTCTCGTACAGAGACAGTCTGGTGGGGAGTGAGAGGTGAGCCGTATAGCCTGAGATGGCGATCACAGATTGTGCAAGTAACAGGTCCTGTGCCAGTCTCACGGTGCAACCGTAAGTTGGACACGTACCCCATGATCCAGTTTAAGGACCTATTACAAAAGACATCAAGACGAGACCAATGTACAAGATAACGTCCAGGTTTCACTACCGTATAGTAAAACTGGCATTATCAGGGTCTTGAAAACGCGTAGCTTGGTCCTTCTTCACAGGTACGGGCATCTCCAAATACTCTTGTCGAGAGAGTTCATGACCCCTGCTGTCAAGCCAATCAGTCTGCTGACTTCCTGGTCTGACAGCCCTGAGTTATGAACTACACTACCAAGGTATGTAAAGCTCTCTGTGACTTCAATGTCCTCGCCGCAAGCACAATAATCCTTGTTGGAATTCCTCCCAATCTCAGGATCTCCCAGAGTGATTCTCGATACACCGCATCGAACGCCTTCTTGAGGTCGATGTAGGCTGCAAGCAGCCCACGCCCGAACTCACGGCGGCGCTCTAAGCACCAGGATACGGTCTATTGTGGACTTGCCAGGAATGAATCCAAATTGCTCCGGCCTCAGGTGCCTCAGTAGGTGGTCTCTGATACGTCTCAGAAGGATGTGGGCGATAACCTTGCGTAATATATTGAGCAGTGTGATGCCTCTGTGATTGCTGCAGTCCCATCGATCCCCCTTCCCCTTCCAGAGAGGAATGACCACACCCTCAACAGGTCTGGGGGGGACGG